GTTGCGATCCGTTGCCGGACACGGAAAAAAGACAAATAAATAAATAAATAAATAAATAAATGGGCTTTTAGGTTACTAATTGTATTAGTCCGTTTATGTTACTTATAACAAAGTACAAGGAACTGGGTGATTTATAAAGAAAATGAAATTTATTGCTTACAGTTTCTGAGGCTGGGAGGTCCAAAGTCCATCTGGTGGTGGCGACAGTGACCCAGGGGGTCTCACATTGCAAGATGGTGGAAGCAGAGAGAGCAAGAGAGAGAGAAAGACAGACACTCCCCTTCTTTTAAAGCCCTCAGAACCACACCCCTGACCACCATTTTTAATCCATTCACTACTGCATGGTCCTACAATCCTATCACCTCTTCAAGGCTCCACCTTTCAATTACCATAATAGGATTTCCCATCCTCTTAACAGTCACATTAGGGGCTAAGTTTCTAATACGTAAAACATGGTGGACACAGTTCAAGATTCAGTGAGTTTGGGGGGACATAATTCAATCTATTGCACTAATTGCTTGTATGCTTTTCCTCTAAGGTAGACCACAGCCCTGGGCATTGAGTACTGTGACCACGTCTGCCTGGAGTGCCACCTGTGAGATTGCGCTCACATGGGTGGAAGTTTTGTGTTACTTTTATTTTTCCATATTGGAGAATATATGTGAAAACATAATTCCTAGGAAATTACCTGATATGTCATTTGGGACTACCAAGATGTATTCTTCTCAGGCTTTAAAATTTTTTTCTTAGCTAATTTTCATTTAAAAGATTTTTTTTGTTGTGCTTTTTGTTTTTTATTAAAAAAAAAATTGGCTTTATTTTCGGTGACTGACTAAACTCTGGATATGTGAGGCTGTGTGCTCGGGATCTGCTGGAGAGAAGCTCCTGTGGGCTCTTGGGGTGTATTGTGTATCCCACATGGCAGCGCTGACCTCACCATGTCACATCTCTGAGAGAGCAAAAGGTTTCAGAAAGGGGATGAACTGTGCCTGTCTTCGTGGGAGTGAGGTTTGGAAGCTTCACAGAACCCCTGTGCTCTAACCCCGCCTGTCAGGGAGGCCAGGTGCAGTGTATGCTCTTTCCCAGCCATTCTGGGGCTCCTACAGCAGTCCGTCGTGGTTTGGTGTCTGCTTTATATGTCTTCACTACAAGAAAATGCATGTGTTGTGCTCTCTGCCCAACATTAGCACCATGCTCTGAGTTGCAGTCTTTCCCCAACAGCCGTCTTTTTTGCATTATTAGCTCTAAGGAAGGAAGTGGACTCTCTAATCGAAGAGCAGTCAGAGGCCCGGAAGCAATCTGAGAAGGACCGCTCAGCTATGCTCTCTCAGATGAAGGTTCTGGAGTCTGAGTTGGAAGAACAGCTCTCTCAGCATCAGGGGTGTGCCGCGCGTGCCAAGGAAATCTCCACCCTCAGACAGCAGATGGTCTCTCTCGACAAGCATTTGCGCAGCCAGCGGCAGTTCATGGATGTAAGAATTCTGAATTAGAATTTTTATTTGCATCACTAAAAGTCATCACTATAGCATGAACTTCATTCCGGGTCATTAAATAAGCTTCTGTAATATGACATTGAAGATCGTTGTCTAGCCCTCCACTGTACAGATAGATTCCTGTGTTCCTGTGGTCTCAGTGGGCACTTTCACATTGTCAGCATTTTGTGGCGTGTGATCCAGGGGCATCCTCGCCATCCTCTTGGCCTGCGGTTCTTCCTGCGGTCTAAGTCTCCACCATGTTACATCCAAAGGGCCATTCTTCTTAACTCCTCTTCACAAAAACAGCTGTGAGGAGGGGGGCATTTAGAGTTCACATTACTGGGCGGGTGGACACATGTGTGCAGTGGCTGTGGAGGTCACGTGAGGCCAGGCCCTGCCTGTTACACGCTCCCTGCAGGGTGGTCCCAACATGCTGCCTCTCGTCCCAGGAACAGGCTGCTGAGCGGGAGCATGAACGTGAGGAGTTCCAGCAGGAGATTCGGAGGCTGGAGGGGCAGCTCCGCCAGGCGGCCAAGCCACAGCCCTGGGGCCCCTGCGACAGCCAGGTGAGTGAGCCTGCCATGTGCCCTGCCTTCGGGAGCAATTCTCTACAGTGTTTTTAAGCTCTGTCTCATTTTGACTTTCTGCCATCCATGTACCTGGAACCAACAGTGCTCACAGCTGGATGCAGAGGTAAGGGTGGGCAGTGCTTGCCTGTGCTTTGTCCCTTCTGCGTGACTGGTAGCCATGGCTTGCCCTCACTCTGCATGCCCAGACAGGGAGGGGCAGCGTGGACGTCCTCCTTTTGCTTGGGGCTTCCTCTTGTCTGAGGTAGCTGTAGTTGATTTGCTTATTCTTTATTTAAATTAAATTTATTTTGAGATAATGGTGGATTCACATGCGGTTGTCAGAAGCAGCTCTATGCCTCATCCCCCAAGGTCACATCTTACAGCCCCAGGGTACCACATCACAACTGGTCAATAGGACGCAGCGGAGCCACAGAGCATCCCTCCCCATAGGGCCCCTCACACTGCCCTCCTAGCCTCATCCTCTCCCCAGCCCCCGACTCCCAGGAATCTGTAGTCTCTTTCCACAATCTGTTACTTCTATAATACTACATAAATGGAATCATGCGTATGTTACCTTTTGGAATTGACTTTTTTCACTCAGCCTAATTTTCTGGAGATTCATCCAGGTGGTTGCCTATGCATCGTTCATTCTTTTTCATTGCTGAGTAGTGTTCTGTCCTTTCTATCAGAACTAATATTATTATTATTATTATTTTTTCCTTTTTGTCTTTTTTTACTGACCGGTAACGGGATCGCAACCCTCAGTGTCACGCCTGTACCGGGGACCGGCAACGGGATCGCAACCCTCGGTGTTGCAACCGCACTGAGCTCAGCCAGTGAGCGGGAACCAGTCTCCACATGGGATCTGAACCCTCGGAGGGAGCGCCGCCACGCTCCCAAGCAGTGCACTCTCCAGTGTGCCACCGGGCCGGCCCAGAACTAATCTTATTTTACTAACAAAGTTTTCATCATATTATTTTTTTTGTGCCTTTTTATTAACAGAGAATGTCCTTAGTGCACCTTTATCCCACTCTGTCATTAGGTGTCATTGTGCAGCCTGGGTCTAGAGAAGAGCATGGAGCACTGCCTGCTTGTGCTCAGTTGCACTGTGTTGTGCTTTCTTGTTGTTCTAGGTTGAATCGTTACAAGAAAAGTTGAGAGAAAAGTCAGATGGATTTAATGAATTGGTTATAAAGAAAGAGTTGGCAGATAGACAACTGTTAATCCAAGAAGAAGAAATTAAACATCTTGAGGAGACAAACGTCAACACCAGAAGAAAAGTGGTCCAGCTCCAGGAAGAATTGGAAAAACAGAAAAAAATTGTGAAAGAATTACAAGTAAACTGTCTATCTGCATAGTTGCAGGAGTGTGGAGGAGTCTCGGCACTGGCAGTGTTTCTGTCCTCTGGGTTCACTTGGGCTGCTGGGCATAGGGCGGTGGGTCTTCTTCACTCATGTCCACTGAGTTGCACCAGAAACACACCAGGCCTTGGAGTCGAATGCAGGCATCACTGGCGATGGAATAGCGAGTTTACTTTGACCTCTCTGGAGATGCTTGCTTTTATTTACTACAGTAGCATTTTATACCATTTTTATATGACTTCTTTATTTCTCCGGTACTCTAAACTTATCCTTAGTAATTTCATAAAGTAAATATTTAAGTTGTAGGTTTTTAAAAAACTTACTAAATACTTTGTTTAGAGCTAGTTATAATTATTTTAATTTTTGAGTTTAAGAATTTATGTCAGCTCCCCAATGAAAGTATCTCTAGCGATAGTTTTTATATTGTGGCTTGGAGTTATGCATGTGATGTCTCGCATGAGCTCATGTGTATCCGGGGTTAGAGGTGAGTTGGGGAAACTGGGCCCGCCCAGGCCGTCCCTCGTTGGCTGGGGTGGCTGTGTTCCTGCATTTCCAGGAAGCATTTGTGCCTCCTTTCTGAGCATTCAGCTAAAAGTAATTGAACCTCTGGCTTTTACTTTATGTCACTGGAGGTTAAAAAGATACTTGAAAAGTGAGCCTTAACGAGAAATTTTATTTCAGAATCAGTAGTTGGGTGCTCCAGCACAAATCCTGCTTGGAGGATGGTAGGAGAGTTTTCTCACGTGTCTGTTCTCATAAATGCTGATGAGAACTATTAAGTGAAGTCAAGGCTCTTCTTGAGGGTGGGATGTGTTTCTGTTTCACTGTTCTGGGAGGGGCACCCCAGCATCTCCTGATTTAACCTGAGCCAGGGGCACTGTGGCCCTGGTCCAGCCACTTCCTGTGCTTTGATGACGGCTCCCTTGTTGGTGCTGGTTCATCCTTTCATTTATTCCTTCCTTCCTTCATTTGCTCAGGAAACATTCACTGAGTTTATTAGGTGCCAGGGGTATAGAAAATGCCTTTTTTCCTCCACAGAATTGGACCACATATATGGATTGGTTTGCCTGTTTCTTCCCACTGACTGTTTTGTGAGCGTTTTCTCTGTTAAATGTTCTCTGTGAACTTTTTCATGGGCTGTTAGCGTCCATTGTATGGATGTGCTTTTAGCCGTTGCCCTGTTTTTTAGCAAGTTCTTTCCAATTTTTTAAAAATTGGTAACAATCTACTGAAATATTTTTATCTTGTTGAATGATTACTGAAGATAAATTTCTTGCTGTGGAATCATGGGCACCGTCTGTGGCTCTCTCTTTGGAGCCACATCCTTCACCAGGTGGTCTCTGCTGGGAGTGTGGCTGGGTTCTGTCCTCTGTGTGTTTCTGGCGAGTCACTGAGTGCAGGTGTATGCAGGTGTACCCACTGTGCTTCAGGAAGAGCTGAGGATGATTTATATGTTAACAGACAGAAGTTGAAGTTCCTGATTCCTTAAATATTTGCCTAAAATAACTTTTTTTTCATGAATAGGATAAAGAGGTATTGAAGGAGCAGCAGATGAGTGACTTGCTTCTGGCATCCACGTTGACGTCTGAACCAGATGAAGGCAAATGCTCTGTTCCTCCTGAGGGTCCAGAAATCCAAGCTGAGGTGGCTCAGAGGGCACTTCTGGGGTGCGAGGGCGTGGTGCATGGGGAGCAGGGCTATTGGGACTGCCTGGCTCCAGCTTAGAGTGTCTGCTGCTAACCTTCAGTGAGTTCTGTGTAGGAGGCCAGATGTTCCAATGGTGCAGCTGGTGTGTCAGTGATGATTGCATGTCCTTTGTAGTTTTATCACTTTTACGAGGGTATAGGACAGTAATAACTGTTTTGGGCATGTACTTTTTAATCTTTCAAAAATTAAATAGCAGTTTTATTAAATCAGTTGGAGTATTAGGTAATTTTTAATCCTTCCTGTTTTTTGTTTTAATGAAAGGTTTTGGACTTAAAAGAACAGCTAGAAAAGATTAAAGGTGACTTAGTGAGTAAAAATGAAGAAATACTACATCTGAGCTTAAAATTAGATGTGCAGAACAGCCATGCTGCCATCAGCATCAGAGAACTTGAAGAAGAGAATGCCAACCTGAAGGTAAACTAAAGACCATCCACCTTGAATCCGAAGTTTATTCTGATCATGTAAATGCTGGGGTCAACCACAAAGATCCTCGGTTGTGGGAGATGAGTCTCTGGCCTCCCAGCCATGTGGGAGATTTCTCTCTGAAGCTCTAGGAGTGCCTGACTTCTGCACTAGGGCTGGGATGCAGGGGCAGTGTTCCAGTGACCAGGAGTGGGCAACCAGAGACCTCTGTCCCCAACTCTCCTTCCTGTTTGCAGCCCTGATAGTCAGGTCTTTGTTGGAGTGAAGTTCCAGGAGAGGGCTTCCCTAATGACAGAAATGGCAGGAGGAGATAAATCATGCTGGGAAGATGTGAGTGGCTTTAGGCCCTTAGGGGCTGTGCTCTTCTAGAAGGGGTGACCCACTGCATGGTGGGGAAAAACCTGTTTCTAAGTCTCTGTTATTTTAATGTAACTGTGCTTTTGAAGCAGAGAGAAAAACAACCTCTATGTAGTTGAGATGATATTCAAAGTTGCAAAGAAAACATAACTTTACATGATGGCCTTGAAACATGTTTAGAGTCCCCATCTGTGGTCCAACCCTGAGTGAACTAATATAATAGTACTGAGGAAATCTGAGGGGCTGTGTCGTTTACGTCTAATTCTTACAAAGGTTGCATCTGTATGATTTGAAAGTATGTGGAGTCAAAAGGAAGTTTCAGGCTGGTCCTAGTAACAAGCTGTCCTTTCAGTGTAAATTCTCCCTTAGTCAGTAGATGAGAACCAGGCAAGAGCGTAGTTCTACTTTGGTGATTGCTTTGAAACAATTTCCTGGAGAAATACAATAATTGGATTTTTTTTTTTTTGTCCTTTTTGAGACCGGCCACACCCCGCTCAGCCAGTGAGCGCTGTGAACGCACTGGTCATCCCTATATAGGATCCAAGCCCGCGTCGGGAGCGCCAACGCGCTCCCAGCGCCGCACTCTCCCGAGTGCGCCACGGGCTTGGCCCCAATAATTGGATTTTGAAAGCCAAACTAATATGTCATTTTAAGCAGAAAGGACTTTAATAGAAAAACATTTTCTAATTGAATTTTCAATTTTCAAATTTAAAACTGCAGGCTTATTTAATTAAGACATTTCATATCTACAAAGTCGGGAATATTTCACATAGTAATACTCTGTTGGCTTTATCATTATTATTATTATGGCGGTGGTTATTACTACTTCCACAGGCATTTCTGCACAACAAAGAAAAGGAGATAATGTCTGTGAGTGAGTAGCTCCAGGCAACACCCACACACGCGCGTGCATGATGTGTCTCTTCCTCCAGCCATGGCCGTGTCTCCTGTGTTAAGTTCTTGGTGGTTTGTAGGTGTGATTGACGGGCCTCTGGCTTTCTAGGGTGACAGTCCTCTGTTTCCTTGTGTAATGTTTATAATACTTTTTTTCGTTAATTTTGGAGGAGGATGTAAGTATAGTGGGGGGCCATAGGGTAGAAAGTAGAAGTTTTGTCTGTAGTTTTATACTTCTCTAGATTTTTTGTTGATGTTTGGTCATTTGGTAGAGGGTTTGCTTCTTCTCTTATACTGAGGTTGGCTATGAGGATAAAGATTTCTTCCTTTATTTGCAGGCTTTACTGGTGACTCTTATATCAGTGTAATTGAGTGATCAGTAGGTTACCTGTAGAGTGGCCCTGGCTACTACTGTGGTGGTGAATTGTCCTTGCTTGACAGTAGGTGTGATAGTGGCTATATTACCCCACCTTGGGTCTTGATCCAGAATTTGTGACCATAGAATGAGCCCCCAGCACTACGCAGGCCTCAGCTCACCTTAGTGGGGCATGCTGCGGGAACTGGCACTTCCCTCTGGGTCCAGGGGGTGGAGGGGCTTCCTGTGCCACGCGGGTCTCCTGGGCTCACCTTGGCAGGGTATGCCGTGGTCTGCTAGTGCTTCCCTCCAGGTCCAAGGAGATATAACCATTTATTTTTAGATTTTTCGGTTTTTATTTTCTAAAATTACACACAGTAAAATTCACTTTTTGGTGAGTTTTATGAGTTTTGAAAAATGCATTTAGTCCTGTAATCACCACCACAATGCCATCCTTCCAGAAATTTCCCTGTGCTGCCTGCCCCTTTGTGGTCACCCCCCAGCCCTGGCAACCTCACTGATCTGTTCTTTAGCCCTTTCCAGAATTCCACATCAAGTCACTCACTCAGCGTAATGCATTTGGAAGTCACGCTGTGGAGTGTGTCAGTGCTGAATGGTCTTGTATGGACGTACCACACTTTGTTTATCTGTTCACCCTCTGAGGGACATCGGGTTGTTTGTTGCTTTTGGCAATTATGAATTGAGCTGCTGTAAACATTCATGTACAGGTTTTTGTGAGGAAATAAGTTTTCATTTCTTTAGGTTGAATACCAAGGAGTGGAATGGCCGATTCATATGTAAGTATATATTTAACCTTAAGGAAAACCTCCAGACTGGTTTCTGTAGTTGCCCTACCATTTTACATTCCGCTGGCAGTATGTGAGAGCCTCAGGCCTAGCCACATCCTCATCAGTATTTGCTGTAGTCAGTCTTTTAACTTTAGCCATTCTGGTAGATGTGTGTTGGTATATCCTAGTAGTTTTGATCTGCATTTCCTTAATGACTGCTGATCTTGAGTATCTTTTTCTGTGCATATTTGCACTCATATTGAGGTGAAATGTTTGTTCAAATATTTTGCTATTTTTTTAGAAAATTGGGTTGTTTGTTTTCTTACTGTTGAGTTTTGGGAATTCTTTGTTCTGAGCACAAGTTGTTTTTTTGATACACGACTTGTAGGTACTTTCTCTCACTCCATGGATTGTCTCTTCACATTCTTAATATGTTTCACAGAGCAAGGCTTTTTATTTTCAACAAAGTCCACTTCAGTAATTTGTTTACTGGATTACACTTTTGGAGTTGTATCTAAGAGCGCTTTGCATAACCCAAAGTATTCTCCTGTCTTCTTTTAGACATTCCATGGTTTCACTACATATAGGTCTCTGATGCACTTTCAGTTGATTGTTGGCATGTGTATGTCCTGTTGTTCCAGCACTATTAGTTGAAAAACTCTTTTTTTCCATTGAATTGCCTTTGCACCTCTCAAAAACCAATTAGCCATGTTTGTTTAGATCCATTTCTGAACTCTCTATTTAGTTTTATTAATCTAGTTTCTCTCTTTCTCTCTGCTAATATCGCACTGTTACTGTAACTTTATAAGAAGTCTTCAAATCAGATGTGAATCTTCCCACTTTTTCTGTTTTTACAAAGTGGTTTTGGATATTCTAGTTTCTTTGACTTTTCATGTACATATTTGAATTAAAATGCTGATATCTACAAAAACTCTTGCTGATATTTTGATTGGAATTGCATTGAATCTATAGATTGATTTGGAGAAAATTAACATCTTAACAATATTGAGTCTTCCAGTCCACAAACATGATATGACTTTCCATTTATTTATTTATTTATTTATTTCCTTGGTGTTGTATAGTTTTCAACTTACATGTTTTGCATATATTTTGTTAGGGTTAGGTTCATACTACATATTCTATTTTGTTATGGTACTATTATCATAAATGATATATTTAATTTTACTTTTTCTTTGGAAGCTGGCCAGTTAATTTTGAATTCTAATTATTTATTGCTAGTATATGGAATTACAGTTGATTTTTATATATCAACCTGTATGCTGTGACCTTGCTAAACTCACTGTTAACCGTAAAGACTTTTTGTGTTGTTTTTTTGGAATTTTCTGTGTAGACTGTCATGTCATCTGCAAATAGGGATAGTTCAATATGTAACTTTCCAACCTGTATGCTTTTTTTTTGTATCCTTTTGCCTTATCAAGCTAGCTAGGACTTCCAGTGCTATGTTGAATAACAGTGCTGAAGTGGACATTTTTGCCTTGTTTCAGATCTTATGGGAAAACATTCAGTCTTTCACCATTAAATGTGATGTTACCTTTAGGCTCTTTTTAGGTATTCTTTATCAACTTGAGGAAGTTCTTCTCTATTCTTTGTTTTCTGAGAGTTTTTTTTTTTTTAAACAAAAATGGTATTGAATTTCGTCAAATCTTTTTTCTGCATCAATCGATGTGATCATGTGATTTTTCTTCTTTAGCCTGTTAATACGGTGGATTTTCAAATATTGAACCAGCCTTGCATCCCTGGAATAAGGGAGGTACTTCAAAAAGTTCATGGAAAATGGGATTGAAAGATAATATGAATCATAAACTCTTTGAAGATTCTGAACATAATTCTTTTTATATATTGCTGAATTCTATTTACTAATGTTTTGTTAAGTTACACATCTATATTCATCAGGGATATTATTGGTCTGTAGTTTTCTTGTGATGTCTTTGTCTGTTTTTGGTGTCAGGGTGATAATGGCTTCATTTAATGAATCTTTTTTTCGTCTTCTGTTTTCTGGAAGACTATGTAGAGTCAGTGTTATTTATTATTTACCCTTTGAATGCTGAGTAGAGTTGTTTAGTGAAACCATATGGGCCTGATGAGTTCTTCGTTGGGGTTTTAAAAAATTTCAGATTCAATTTCCCTACTAGTTGTAGGGCTATTCAAATTAATGTTTTATATTGGGATATTTTTGGCCATCATTTATTGAGATATCTGCCTCTCTCTTGTGGAGCTCCAGTTGCAAATATGCCCTGCCTCTCCTATCTTCCCGTGGATATTTGAGGCCATGTGCATTTTTTGTAATTCTTTTCCTTTCTCCTCTCCTGATGGGATAATCTCCATGATGCTTTAAGTTTGTGGACTCTTTGTCACATCCAGTATGAGTATATTTTTAAATTTTGGATACTGTAATTTTTAGTCATAAAATTTTTGTTTCTTTTTATAGTGTCTGTTCTTCTGTCAGTATTTCCTTTCTTCTTTTTGTTTATTGTGAGCATACTTTTCTTTAGGTCCTTGAACACAATTGTTTGCATCTGCATTAACATTCTTGTTTGCTTGTTTAAGCATCTTTTGTCCTCTCAGGGTTGGTGCCATTGGTTGTTTTTTCAGAATTGGCTGCATGTTCTTGATATTTGGTGGTGGTGGTGAGTAATTTTTATTTGCATCCTTGACATTCTGCAAGTTATGTTGTGGGAGCTCTGGCTTCTGAAGTGTGTTGAGATTTTTATTTTAGCATTAGTCAGCTTGGTTAGACTCAGAGGACCCACTCTGTCTTGCCTGCAGGGGTAGCTGTCGATATCCCCACCTGTGTGATGGAGTTGGCCTGAGACGTGGGTAGAAATAACACACGGAATCTGGGGCTCTTCTTTCCCTTCTTCTCTGTCTCTTGGGAACACCTCCTTGCTCTCCATAGCTTGACCTGATTCCTTCTCCTGAGCCTCCTCAAGCTGCACTGCCTGAGGGCAGAGCCTCAGAAATGGAAATTCCCTCCTGTGGTGTCCTTTGCCACATCTTGAGTTCCCCTCATGACCTCCTGGGCCAACAGGCGGGTGGGGCATCACCCTCCAGATTTCATGAAATCATTTGAGGAGCATTTGTCCTCACCAAACTTGGAGCCCCAGCTTTGATCTCAAGCCTCCCTTTCCCAGCCCTGCTCCTTGCTCCTCTGAGTCCCCTGCTGGTGCTAAGGGACATTCCTTTGATAATACACCACGCTGGGCAGAGTAGGCCCATCTGGGTTTCCTTTCCCTGGAGAACAGGTGGCACTCAGGTCAGGCCCCTCTGCACCATCCTGTACAGGAAGAAACCACACACCATGTTCAGGGAGACCCTAGCGTATGTGCTCTCTGCTGTCACGTCTACCCTTTTTCTGAGTTCCCCAACCTAATTTTTGGCACCTTAACATGTTTTTATCTCTTTCTTGCTGTGTTCCAACTGCACTGTATCTCCAAGGACTGATTTTAGATTTTAGTGTTTTACGTTTGGGAGCCACCTTTGTGTGCTGGCTCCAATATTTTAAATGTAATATTTGTGTTATGATTATGACTTTTGTAGTACGTACTCTTTTATTCCAGTGTATTTAGTACATTTAGTGTGACAAAGCAAAAATTGCATACAGTAAGAATTATCTTTAAAAATCTCTTCACTTGCCTGCACAAAGACATGGGTCTGTGCAGTGCACAGTAAGGGGTGTGCAAAATAGAACTGGAAGAAGATGGGAGGATTTAGTTTTGCATTTAGCAATTATCTTTTGTCAAATGTATAATGTATTCATAAACAGTAAATGTGTATACAGTATATAGCGGATATTGTCCAAACCAAAGCCAAAAACTAAACAGGTTTCTTATTTTTGTTTATACTCCAGGCCCAATTTGTATTTGCACCTAAAGTAACTGTGAAGTAGTTCTAGTGAAACCAAGAATTGTTTTGAAACACTCAGTTTTTTGGAAGCAGACACTGACCATAACAAATTGTTTGAAAATTGTTAGCTAGAACATAAATTGGTTACAATTTTTCCACTTGGTCACCACCAGTGATACCTTAAGAGAATGGAGTTGGGAGCCATATTGACATAGATTTCAATCCTGATTTTCCGCTTACTATTTTTGTGGGTTTGGAAAGATACTTGATATCTAAGTTGCAATTTTCCCATGTTTAAAGTAGGAATCATAATACCTCTTGCCTCAAAATTGCTGAAGATTGGGTTAAATGGCACAGGTAAATGTATCCTCCTTTGAAGCCTGGTGTAGTAGCTGAGGCAGCAACAGTGGAAATACCCATGTTCCTGTGCAGGCATGAACGCAGGCAGAGTGGGCAGTACCCGGGCTCATTCAGTTCTTCATTTTTGCAAATTCTCTGGCCAATTTTCTCACTTTTATTCTGGTGTTAGAATGATACCTTAAATCTAAATGCTTCTTTCAGGGAATTCAAATCAAAGTCCTTTAAATGTTAACATAAAGGGTGGTGAAAGCATTATGGTGTGGCTGTTCTTGCCTGGGAAGTGACTATGCCAGAGCTTCCTTGCAAGTTGACAGCCGAGTGTGTGGAGGTGTTTGGGAAGGGGACAGAGCAGCGGCCAGAGGTGCCAACCTTGACCAGTGGTTGCACCTGAAGCACTGGAGTGTAGCACTGGGGGTCTGCAAACATCGAATGCCACATTGAGCTGTTGAGTCTCGCTTCTACAAGGCTGAACTGCATGTTGAAAGAGGGACATTCTGAAGTGGGTACGTTTAATTTGGCTCTGAAATGTGCTTTCTCCTCAGGTTGAGTATAGCAGAAGTTCTGAAATTGAGGAGCTGAAAGCCATTATTGAAAATTTGCAAGAGAACCAAGAGCGATTACAAAAGGATAAAGCAGAAGAAATTGAACAGCTCCATGAAGTCATTGAGAAGCTGCAGAGAGAGCTGTCCATCATGGGGCCTGTGGTGCATGAAGTCAGTGACAGCCAGGCTGAGAGTCTCCAGAGTGAGCTGCTCAGCTTGCAGGTGGAGAGCCCAGTCGGGCAGCCGCTGCAGGGCGAGCTTGACGCTGCACTCATGGCCAAGGAGGCCCTGAGCCAGCTGCTGGCCGACCAAGCACAGGGACACAGCCAGGCGTTGGAGGCCGTGCAGCAGCGCCTGCGGGAAGCAGAGGTGGCTGCTGCGCGGCAGCTGGCTGAGCTGAGGCGCAGTGCGGCCCTCAGGGAGGCCGAGGTCAAGAATATGGCCTCCCAGATCCGGGAGTTTGAAGTTGCCCTAAAAGCAAAGGAAGCCTTGATTGCAGAGAGAGATTTAGAAATTAATGCTATGAACAAGTGGAATGTGGCCCATTCTGCCGAGCTGGAGGCCATCCTGTTGGCCTTGGCCCGTTTCCGCTGCGCTCTGGAACAGCAACCCCTGGCTGCACCAGATGAGCCTCCTGAGCTGCAGCGGCTGCGCGCTCAGTGTGCCCGCCTGAGCCACCAGCTGCAGGTGCTGAACCAGCGTTTCCTGAGGTGCCAGACGGAGCTGGACAGACAGCAGACCCCGCAGGCCGCAGCCCACACACCAGCACTCAGGGCCTGCCTGCAGCCTTGTGTGGGGGGCATCACTGAGGCGTGGGTCGCCAGGGTTGCGGAGGCCGTGTGCGAGGATGAATCGGAGTGGGGTGTCGGTGGCAGGTGGCTGACCACAGCCCCCCATGCCCTGGACCAAGACACACGGGTAGGCCTTGTTCCTGTGCAGGCCATGGAGCCAGTGCAAGTGAGGGATCTCGGGTGAGAGAGGCTGAGGCACTCAAGGGGCCCTGGCCCAGGCTGCCGGGCCAGTAGGGGCCAGGCCAGGTGTGTCTGGTGCTCTTTGAAGGAGACTTTGGGTTTTTTTCTTACTCTCCTCCTTGTTTTCTCTTTTAGTTTTAATAACTTTCTTCTTTCCAGTCTGGGCAGTGGGGGGACAGCTCTCCTGGTGGCTTGTGACCTGCTGGAGGAGGAGAGGGGCCTGGAGCTCTTACAGCCGGGCCTGGTTAGGATCCACTCTCAGTGAGATCAGGCTGGGAGTTCACTATTGTATAAGTTACTTAAGCTTTTTAAAACAATCCTTCCTTTAATACCATACTATCTGATGATACCTACAGCCGGGCCTGGTTAGGATCCACTCTCAGTGAGATCAGGCTGGGAGTTCACTATAGTATAAGTTACTTAAGCTTTTTAAAACAATCCTTCCTTTAATACCATACTATCTGATGATACAGTGATCATTTTGTGTTAGACAGTCTTTCTTAATTTTCCTCTGTGGTTTCTAATCAAATGGTTTATCTCTTAACAAGCATTTCCTAAGTAAAGTTTTAAGCTCATTTCATTTGGGAACAGAAGGCCTTATGTGAGTCTTCTTTTTTATGCTCCAGTTTGTGTCTGAGTAGAGCTTTGGGGATCAGCTGCTGCCCCAATGCCCATGTAGGTCCTGAGTGGGCGGCTGCTCTGTCAGGTGCCCCAGCTGCCCTGGTCTTTGGTGCTGCCCTGAGTTCTCAGCCTCATGCTCAAGTTGACCAGCTGGGCAGTGAGCAGATAGCAGGACTGTGGACAGGCTACCTGCCTTCCCCTGGTGTCCCTGCTGCATCACGTGCTACCCAGAGCTGGGCAGTCTCCTGCACAGGGGGGTGGGGGAACGACGGTTTCTGATACATTCAGTTTGACCTTTGTAAGCATCATTCCTGTTCTCTCTGTTAAGGATGATTTTCAGCCTGCCAAAGTCCTGGTGACTTTAAAGGATGCAGATCTCCCGAAACAAGAAAGCGTGATGTCAGTGCTCACCCTCTGCCAGCAGCAACTGGAGTCAGAGCTGCTCCTGATGAGCGATGAAGTCCACTGGAGTGTGGGGGACAGCAGCAAGGTGTCGGGGAGAAGGAAGGTGCTTCACGTTCTGGGAGGGCTGGGCGCTGAGTGCACAGAGATCATACCATCGAGGACGTTCACGGGGCATGCTCCCCGAGTTTATCTTGTCCCACTGTGACTATGCTGTCCACTTCCATTTAGACACTTCTGCATGTTTATTTAAGACACTCCCTAGAAACAGACATTGCCCATGGTCTAATAAGTGGCTTGTGAATGATAAACAATTAGTTTCTTTTTCCTTGTAATTGATACCAGTGTCTTTGACTGCACTCCTGAGCTTGTCCTTAGGACCAAATCATCCCCACAGACCCCACCTTGTCCCAGAACCTTCATTTCCAGTGTCTGTTACTTTGAAAGGGTTTAGATTTATTTTTGACTTTGGGTTTTTTACCCTCTGTATTTTTACTTCAAGAAAAGTTGTCTTTTCTTTTCCCAGGGGAGGCTTTTTTGTGGCAACTTCAGATTGTCTCAGGGTTGAGATTTAAGAAGAAGAGCAGGTGCCAGTGCCATTCATGCCCTCGTACCCAGGACAGGTCCTCAAAATCACTTGCCCTTGGTGGCTGGGGCTGCTTGCTGTCCTTGACATCATGGTTCCTCCTGGTGGGTGAGTCCCACCTAGCCTTTGTTGACACATAACTGTCCCTGTCTCATCCTCACTCTGCTCACAAGACAGGCCCCAACTCCTTATCCACATTCTGAGACCCAGAAGGCTCTTAGAACCAAAAGTGATTTGTTGGTTGGGTTTTTTGCTTTCCCATGTGTGGTGCCAAAGTGTGCTTGGGCTGGTGTGAAAGTCACACACATTGCTGGGGTGCTTTGTGACGAGTGCAGGGTGGGACCCGCGTGTCACTCACCATGTGTACCATGTAGTGTGTTAGACCCAAGAGATTCTGAGTCCACGGCACACTGGCCTGGTGGTTCTGAGAGAAGATGCCTGACTCTGGTTTCATGTGTTCATCAACTCGCCTCAGGAAATGTATCCTGTGCAGAGGGAATCTTTTCACCATTTCTGTGCAGCAAATTTGTTTGAATGCCCTCGTGCCGGGAACATTTGAATTCTTAAGAGACAACTCAGCCCCATGACATCATGCTGGTTGCCAAATTCTTTAGAAGTTATATGCTGACAAGGAAACTCCAAATTCATTATATAAACCACAGTCTTGTTTTTCACTGTTCAGATTAGAACCTTCCAGTCCTTTTTACCTCACACAAAAAACTTGTGTCCTCAGTAAATTAGTACAGAAATACATTATGCCAAATGCCTTTTAAGCAAAAAGCTTTAAGGCTTGATTGTTTTTCATGGAATTAGATAAACTTGACATCTTAAGCATCTAGAGGTACCAAAGGGCTTATCATGGAATCTCACCCCTAAGTGCACAGTCTCTGAAATCAGCTCATAAACACCAGACAATCATGAGACATCCTATAATTCAGTTATTTTACTATGTGCATATTCTTTTTAACTTCAGGGTAAGGAAAAACTACTGGAAGATTGTCAACTTCAGAAGGACGATCTCATAGCTCAGGTGAAACAACTTCAAGAAAAATTGAACCATCTGGTGTATTCTGTGACCTTCCAGGATGTTGACACTGAAGATTTTAAATTTCAACAGCCATTGGCATCAGCATACATGTTAGAAAATAGTTCAAGTGTTAGATCTCAGAGGGATGAAGAACCTGACAAACCGCTCTCTGTGGAGGCATTTAATACTAATAAAACCACATGGGATCTAACTGATATTATTAAAAATCGGGATTCTTTGATAATAAATGAAATGCCAAATTTTCCCATTCAAGAAAAATTAGCACTGCAGGATGGGTCCCTTTCTTTACAAACTAGCGTGTACAGAGGCTCCCAAGACCCAAGCCACACCAAGGAGGCTGAAACCCTGAAGAACCTGAGCAGGGCGCTGGACCTGTCTTCCTGGAGCTCCCCAGAGGTCCTCAGGAAGGACTCAACGCTGGAGCCTCCACCCAGCCTCCCCCTGACGCCCTGCTCAGGTACCCTGAGCCTGCGCAGCGCCAACACCTCCCTGCAGGACAGGATGGACCCCTTGCTGCTGCCGGCTGGTGCACCTGAGCTGCTTTGTCACCCAGGCGAGTCAGCAGCAATGCAGGTCCTGCAGTGCACAGTGTCTCCGTCAGCCAGCCACCACCATGTGGAGAGGACAGCTGTGGTAGGTGCCTGCCTGCACCCCTTAGGCCCGGTGTTCCCTTGGGAACGTGCCCACCGGTCTGCGCACTTCATAGCAGCTGCCATTGTTGGCTCACCCTGCACGCCCTGTGGGACTGTGCAGCCAGCACTCAGGTGGCTTTAGTTGTTTTAAAACTTGCTGGGTGTGCTGGCCCCTTCAGAAATCCACCCAGGGCATGCTTATTAACTGGTGCCTGTTCTGAGAAGGACAGTCATGAACCCATATTTCTGTACAATTTGCTTAAGGATTCTTTGTCTAGAATATGTTTCTTAGGGTTATTTTCTGTAGTATTTTTTGTTTAACAGGTTTCACATATAATGCTAATTAATATTAAGACCATATCAATTTACTATTTTGAGTTAGATTATAATTTTTCTAACATAATTTTTGGGTTTTGTGTATCACAAGAAAGATAAAATAAAAAATAATTTAGGGGATATGTGTTATCTGAGGCATTTATATACTGTCATTTCATACAAAAAATTTTTAAATCTGAAATATTTGCTAGTGGCTACTTTAAGATATTCCTGAAGATCTGTGGGGACTCTGATTAGGTTATTGGAAACATATTTACAGATTTTGAGAACTTTGATTTTATGTGGGAAGATCATCAATTTAGGCCTTAGAAAGTTTTCATCTGGCAAGTTAAGGTGTGTGATGTAATAAATTGTTATTATACCATCATTTAAAATCTGCCTGTCTGAACAGGAGAAAGATGTTGAAGACTTCATGGTAACATCTTTTGACTCTCAGGAAGCGTCAGCATCTCATCCTCCTGGCCTAGCAGGAAAAAGTGAGGAAAGTGGAAAAAGTGAGTTTGTATCTTTTTTTTTTTAGCTTCTTTTGGCAGTTTCAGAAATGGTACAAAGAATTCCGGTATTTCCTTACCCTGGATTCCTCCCAGCATTCACATTTACATGTTTGCGGGTACCCAGCTGACCTGGCTATACTCTGATGAGAGTTGCAGACCTGATGCTATGCACTCCTGAGTGTGTCATTGTGCATTTCACACATTCAAGGTTGCAGCACCACGCTTGGCACCTGGAAGTTTGTGCTGATCAAGGCTGGAATCTCAACCCAGACTTTACTCAGATTTTGCCAGTGATCCCATTAGCATCCTTTACAGAAAAGGTGCGCACCCCAGCTCACACACTGTGTTCAGATGTCTTTGGCGGGGCCAAGACAGAGGAGGCACGCCCAGCGCCTTGGCCTGCAGGCAGCGCCCCTCACGTTTGCACTCGAGCACCTCTGCCTCACCCAGTCCCACCTGCTCGTCCATCCTCTTAGTTTGAAACAGTTTGTCCGTCCGTCTGTCTTTGGGTTTCAAGACACTGACATTTGAGAAGAGCAAAGGCGGTGACTTTGTCACAGGGTCCTCTGCACGCATGTGTCTGGCGTGTCTTGTGATTGTACATGGGATGCTGAGTTCTTCCCCAGGCCTCATAGCAGGAGGTGCGTGGGGTCAGCTTCCTTGGCTGTGCTGGTGTCTGCCCAGTTTCCTTCTGTTTTTCATGGGACTGGTGTCTCATGGGGGAGAGTTGGAGGCCGCATGCACATTCTCTTGCTCCTCAAACACACCCACCAGCCTTGGCCGCATCAACAGTTCCTGCTTGGATCTGTTATCACTGTGGTGGTTGGTTTTCAAGCTTATTTTCTTAACTTTTTCATTTTTTTAATAACTGATGCTTTTTTATATTGATCACTATCTGAGGTGTTTTATTTTAAAATTATTACTGGCTCTTTCAGTGATTTTTGAGAACAGAATTACAGTGAAAAATACAATGTAGTTCATTGGAAATTTTAGCATTTGCAGAATCAGGGCCAGCAACTTGTAATTTTATTTTTTATTTTTATAAGTAGTAAGTTAAGTGTGTGGTCGATTGGTTCTGGGAGGTGCTATCCAGGAGTGGGATTCTGTCATCTCCCGACTCAGGACTGCCGCTCCCTGGGGACATCAGCGTTCAACTGTCAGAACTGGCTCTAGAGTTTGCTTTGTTTTCATATCACATTTACGATTTAAAGTGCCTCATCTACACTCCTTGCAGTGTGCTTCCTTGTTGTCCTGCCCACACTTCCTGTCTGATCACAGCCGAGCGTGTGCATTTTAAGCAGACATGTCCAGTGTTCCCAGCAGAGTCACTGGGGTGCAGTCTCTCACACTGGCTTGTTTTCCATTGCTCTCTGTTTCCGCCGTGTTATCCACTACAGGGCCTCCCACACAGTACCTGAGCCTGCATGTTGTCTAAGCTGTCTGAGCACAGCATTCTGCCCCTTGGATCCCTTGTCCCCCTGATGGTCCCTTACTTTAATGAAGCTTGTTACCTAGAGGCTTCTGGAGAAAGAGTGTGTGCGAGGTCCTTTTTTTCTGAGAGTGTTCCCGTCTTCCTGGCCTTTATTTGGTAGTTTGGGCTTAGTGTAGACTCTTGGGTTGGAAGTCACGTTGCTTCAGGCACTTGGGCACTTCCAAGAGGTCTCGAATAGCCTGTTTTGAGGCCCCTCACCTGTCAGAGCCACCTGGTTTCTCAGTTTGTAGACCTGCTCTAGGTTCCTCAGCCCTGGCTGGCTGGCTTTGGGCTTTTCTCCATCCACAACCCCAACCTCACCCGGGTCAGGCCTTTCCACCTTAGCCTGATGCCACCTAGGTGGCTCATCTCAGCTCCTGGTCGTAACCTTCAACCCCCCACCCCCTTAGCCACCCCCTTCTCTTCACACCCCTGGTTGGGGCAGAGTGCCGGCCCTGTGGGCATCCAGCTGCCTCGCAGTGCCTGCCTGGTGCAGTAGTGGGGGTTCTGTTTTGTCTTTGGGTGATGAGGAGCAGCACATCCTTGTGTGTGTGGATGTGAGTCGAGATGTCCGTAAGGTGTGTGTGGAAGTCATGGGCGTTAACATACTAAACACGCAAAGCATGCTTGTTCTTACTTTAAGTATGTACTTCTCATCTTAGTTTTGTTTTTATAAACGTATGTTTACTGTCTTTGACTGGAGGCCCATCAATGCTTCTTCATTGAGATGAGCCATAGCCACAGTTGTTGCTGGGTGTTTCTGCTCCAGCTGTCCCCACCCTGCACTCTGTGGTGTGTCCTTGGCAGAATGTACCAGAGAGGGGTAGTTTCGGTCCCTGACCTTGTGGTGTTTTTAGGTGATGGCTTGGGTTTTGGAGCGAGACTGAGTCTGGGGACAGGAGATCTCGAGGCTCCTGCCGCCAGTGTTACAGCTCCAGCCGCCAGTGTTACAGCTCCTGCCGCCAGTGTTACAGCTCCTGCTTGCATCTCTGGAAGGTTCCGATGGTCACTAGAAGCAATGAAGGGGAAAGAAGTCCATCCAAAGCACATGAAGGTAAGAGCATGCCTCATGCCTCTAGCCCTCTGCAACCCCTGGTCTGCTGGTGCCGTCTGGAAGGAGAGAAGCTGCTGTTGAGGGGCATCGGCGCAGGTGACCCAGGTGAGAGCCTGGGTTGAAGGGCTGCAGGGGCCCTGGGAGCTGTGGTCCTGTGACAGGCGGACCTGCTCTTCCTGGGTGTCTCTAAGTACATGTGTTTTAACGAATCACAAGAGAGACAGATCTAGGATTCATCTTCCTGAATTTACTCATTGAAACCTGTGACCAGGCTGGCCAGTTAGCTCAGTTGGTTAGAGTACAGCCTTATAACCTAAAGGTCATGGGTTTGGAGCCTTGTACCAGCTAGCCACCCCCCAAAAACACAAAACCTGTGACCATTTGTTGCAAAGTGATTGTGTTTGGTTTTTGTTTGGTTTTGGAGACTGACCTCAGGGGTGGCCGCTCCTGCCTGGCTGCCCTTCTGTCTCCACACCAGGGTCCTGAAAGGGGGGGTCCCACCAGCTTTGCTGTTGAAGCACATAGTGTGTTCGTCCCTTCCAGAGGATATTACCAGATGGCCTTTATGGCCTTGCTCATACGTATTTCCTGATGTTGGTGCTTGGGAAGGAGGTGAGGGTGTTTCTGACGGGCAGCCTCAGCCCTTGCTCGGCTGAGCCCTTGAGGAGAGTTTGTTATTGCAGCCCTGTGTGTTCTGTGTCGGGCAGGTGCCTCGAGGCTCACCAGTCATTGGTTCCTTCCCATTCAGCAGCTGCTGTCCGCAGGCAGCAGGAAGCCTGTGGCATTTCTTTGTGTCTGATGGAAAAGGGGGACCTTTAGGCCTCTTGCCTAGAAGCATAGAGGCCTTCCCATCAAGGGCCCTCCCTCTTCTTACTGTCTGGATATGGTTGTACCTGGCTGAGGGTCCCATCATGATGGTTGTGCCTGGCTGAGGGCCCCGTCATGGGCAGGTGTGTCCTGATCCTCACCAGTGGGGTCCCATCGCAGATCTGTGCCAGCCCCGCAGGTGCATCTTCTGTCTGGGCAGTGGGGGGCCTGCAAGCCCATGGGTGCTGCGCATTCAGGGCCACAGAACCAGACATGTCCCAGGCTTGAGGGCTGCCTATGTGAACTCTAGGGTTAAGCATCTCCTAGGGGGCCATGCTGCACCCTTGGAGCCAACTCTGAAGGCAGAATTTTTGTGGGACTTTTCATAGGTTTTCTTTGCTGCGCATTCAGGGCCACAGAACCAGACATGTCCCAGGCTTGAGGGCTGCCTATGTGAACTCTAGGGTTAAGCATCTCCTAGGGGGCCAGGCTGCACCCTTGGAGCCAACTCTGAAGGCAGAATTTTTGTGGGACTTTTCATAGGTTTTCTTTTCTCTCCCAATTTAGCAGATTATTTTATAGCAAAACTATTGACATAAACTCGGCTAATTAAGTAAATGATATAATATCATTATCGTGTCTCATTCGAATAATAAAAGCATTTCCAAATAAAACAATTTGTTTTTTTTTTTTTTTTTTAAAGATGACCGGTAAGGGGATCTTAACCCTTGACTTGGTGTTGTCAGCACCACGCTCACCCAGTGAGCTAACCGGCCATCCCTATATGGCATCCGAACCCGTGGCCTTGGTGTTATCAGCACCGCACTCTCCCCAGTGAGCCATGGGCCGGCCCCAAATAAAACAATTTGGAGGTTAATAAAATCTTTTCTGAAATTTTATTTAAGAATGAAAATTGGAGTAGTTGATTTTTTGTCTTTTTTCTTTTTCCTTGCACTCCCCCAATTTTTATATGATATAAAACATCGAGGAGATGTTTCTGTTAGCACTATCTAATATTAGAATATTTCCTGATTTTTAAGGAGTAAATTTGGTTGTTAATGACAATTCTTCACACTTATGCTTAGTAATCAACAAAGAAAACAAAAAAAGCCAGTGAAGCCCCCCCCCACCCGGGCCCTTTGAAGAAGGCACTGAGAGGTGGACAGTGAGCAGAAAGAGCCGTGCTTGCCCCGCTCGGCTGAAAGTGACAGGAGGGTGTTTTTTTGATAGGTTTCTCACACTGTCTTAGACTCAGTGTTTTCCTTTATTGTTTTACATTTCTAAACTGTATTTTGGGAATGTAGAACATCCTCGGATCATGGCCTCGCACTTGCAGTGAGAGCCAGCAGGCAGCTCAGGAGGCTGTAGTTGTTGGCTTGGTCTGCTCTATGTGCCGTTCTTAGGAACCATGGGAGATTCCTGTGCTCAGACATCAGTCATGGACGTCTTGTAAGCCCCTGAACTTGGGAGGCTGGAGGAATGTGGGGCATGTGCCAAGGGAGGTCATGGGAAGGGCTTGAGCCCAGCCATGCTTGGGCACCTCAGGCGATTGTGCCTGGGATTTAAGCCTGGGCATGGGCTGCAGGTGAGTGGCCTGTGTGAGGCCATGTAGGAAGTGCTGAGTGTCAGCCGCCAAGGGCCTGGACAGTGTAGAGGGTGACTGCAGGGGCAGGGGACAGGACACACCTGTGGGCTGTGGCCAAAACACAGTTCCCTTGGCAGACATTCGGCCCTGACAGTGGAGGCTCCAAATCTTCTCAGCCCTAACGATTATGTCCCTGGGACCCCCAGGCTGAAAGGAAGACAGTATACTGAGATTGGAGCCACCAGCAAGGTCTCTGCCCTCCTCTCTGGCCTGTGGCCCTGTTCCACGTGGATTTCCTTACAGAAAACCGAGATCTACAAAGATGTGACGCCACCTGGTGGGGATGCTGGAGGGACTACCTCTTTCTTTGGGAGAGGTGTTTTTTAAAATGCTGTTTGTCTTCGTTATAGAATCCAGAAAAGCATATAAAAAATAGAAAATGGCCCATCGTCTACAGCCAGGGTGATAACTGTGGTTACCTGGCTCTTCTTGTCTTCGCTGGTGCAGGATGGAGTGTGGCCTGCCAGGCTCACCCTTAGTCCTCATCCAGAGACCTCGATGTGTGTCCGTGTCATGTCAAATAAGTTGTTTTAAAGAAAAATTACTTAAAATGGTGGAAGGCCGTCATCTTTAAAGTGATACACTTCCAGTCGTGTTCCACTTCTCCAGTACTTCCTAGTCGTGTTCCACTTCTTTCTTGGTCACGTCGTCAGAATCACAGCAGAACGTGTTCCTATCTACTGACCGGGCTGCGTCACAGGCCTTGTCGTTTCTTGGTCTCAACGTTTCTCTTTTTGAACTTTACCAGTTTTTTTTTCCCCTCAGATTTTTAAGCTAAACATGTCCCATGCAGAGTCCTCGTTTGCAGCTGTGGCAAAGATGTCCATGGGGGCACTGGGCTCTGTGCTGGCCTTGACACGGCTTCTCCTTGAGAATGGCTCATAGAAGCCATCTTCTGTCCTCCCTCAGCTTCCTTGGGTAGGACAGATGGCCAGTGTGTCAGTCCCCGTCCATGCTCAGTCGTGTGGAGCAGCCACATTGTGCTCACAAACCTGTGGGTCAAGACTTGGACAGAGCCTTTTGGGGATGGTTTTCCCTGCTCCCCACATCTGGCCTCATGCCCTTGACCCCATGCTGGTAGTTGGTACTGGCTGGCAGCTGCACCATGTGCACAGGCCTCTTCGTGGCCCAGGAGAGCAAGGGAGGTCCATGGCGTCTTCACGACCTGGCTGTAGCCCTGCCCTGAGCTCTGCCTGGGCTTGGAGGGATAACTGGTGGGAAGGAGTAAATTATGGGGCCATCCCTGGAGTATCTCATGCAGAAATTCACTCTTCAAACCTGGTTTCATTGTTGTCTTTCTGAAGGCTGCAGGGGAGGAAAACTGAAGACCTCATGGTTACAATAGCAGACTCTGCTGTTTGGTACAAAGCCCACAGGGGCATCCCCTCTTCCCTGCTGCCCACTGCTTTCAGAAGGGCTGAGCTACACAGCCTGCACACTGATAGGGTGGATGGAACAGGACATGGATGGAGGCTTCAAGCTGGTCTTCCCCCTTTCTAACGAGCTTTTCCTACTCAGGCCTTGCTGCAGATGGTGTGTGACGAGAGCCGCCAGATACTGGCCTTGTCAGAGAGCTGCAGCCCGCCTAGGACCCTGGGCAAGGGCGAGCCACACACACCCCTGGACCACTTCTCGAGGGAGGGGCAGGGCCTGCTGGAGTCAGCACGACAACCACAAAAGGGAGAGAAGGTATGGAAGTGTTTGGTCCAGTAAGTGGGAACACGCAGTTTTATTTTGCAGCTCATGTACAACTTTTCCAAAGTATTTACGGAGCCTACACTGTTGGCTTTGCCCACAGGGAGCCATAGCCAAGAACCCTGAGAGGCCTGTCCATGTTCCTGTGACACAGTGGCTCTGGTGTCTCTTTCTCCTCTTATAAGAACACAGTCTTGTCAGATGGGGCCCCCTCTTGTGACCTCATTTAAACCTTATTACTTCCAAATACCATCACATTGGGGTTAGGGCTTCAAAATATGAATTTTGGGGGAACACAAACATTCTTTCCATACAGCACCTGTAGAATGCACCTAGAGACCACTGAGTTTCTTCTTTGAATATTTTAGGAAGCTTCGGACATGTGCTTTGATTGGAGAGGAGAATTTCTGCAGGTCATCCAGGGGGTGTTTGAGAAAGAGTGGGAGATGCTGCAGGTCCAGCTGCAGCCCAGACTCTGCAACTCAGACCCTGGGGATCACAGTGCCTTGTTCAAGAGGCTGGGGAATGCCATCCAGGAGCAGGTGAGCGACTGCTCTATGTCCATGTCTTGTCTTACCCACCAGGAGCCCAGCCCTAATGAATGAACAGAGTGACAGAGTCTGTTTCATATGTGAATTTTGGTTCATGTGTTTCTCTCAACCTTGGAATGTGGCAGTACCTGACCGAGCAGATCATGCATCACTCTGTGTCAGGCTGTGCTTGTACTCGTGAGCTGTAATGAGGACAGTTGAGCACATTGATTCTCTCTTATGCCCTCACTTTGATCTGGAAATCACTGGCAGAGGGTGATTCCAAGTGGCCCTTCCTCGGTTGTTAAGCACTCCACACTTGGGGTTAGAGGATCAGAGGACACAAAAAGTACATTCAAAACCGAGTGTTCAGAGGAAGGTGCTGACTAGGCCCCGCAGCGGGTCAGCACAGCCCAGCCCAGGCCCCACAGGCCTGAGAGCGCATGGAGAATGTACTGGGAACCGAGGGCCCCCAGAGGCACTGTGCACCTATTCTGGATTCACGCACTCAACAAGCTTGTCCCAGCAGAACTGAAGCATGGGTCTGCAAAGGCTGGGCTGCAGGGAGGGCTGGGGGTATGGGGCTCTTGGCCTTCCCAGCCTTGGAGGCACCCGGGAAGTCCTGTATTTTGTGCTTGGTCTACTCTTCCCTCTTTCCCTATCCCATCCCCAGGGAAACGTGCAAGAAAAGTCCTTGGAGCACCTCCACCTGTCCGACAGGAACAGCTTGCTCTCTGAGATCCAGGCTCTGCGTGCCCAGCTGCGCATGACGCACCTGCAGAACCAGGAGAAGCTGCAGCAGCTGTGTGCGGCACTGACCAGCGCAGAGGCCCATGGGAGCCACCAGGAGCACCAGCTGCGCAGGCAGGGTGGGTGTGCTGCTGGCCTGCATGGGAAGGCAGATGCATGGCACAGTGCTGGAGTCTGGAAGCAGCAACGCCTGGTCTCACCAGCCCCCGAGTGTGGGGACAATGGGGCTGCTGCGCTTCTGAGTCAGCAGAACTGAGTAGAGACTTTCTGAGGGTGGGCAGGGCAAGGGGGGGCCAGGCAGGACGGAGGCCTCGCCAGGCCACAGAGGTAGGAGTGGGCTCCTCTCAGGCGCCAAGTGTGCTGGGAGATTCTCGGGAGCTCACACCAGAGTTGAAAAGTGTGTCATAGGTTTCTACATTTAATTTAGATGCTTTGTAGAATTCTTACATAGACCCTGTTATCTGTAGATAAATGCTATTTTATTTTTTGTTTCCCATCAACTTCTTTTCTTGCCCGTGACACCAGTCAGGCCCTTGACAGATGCCTGTCCTTGTGTCCCATCTTGTACCATCTCATGTGAGGTCCGTTTTTTTTTTTTCCTTTTTGTCTTTTTTCGTGACCGGCAACGGATTGCAACCATCAGTGTCACGCCCGTACCGGACCGGGACCGGCAACGGGATCGCAACCCTCGGTGTTGCGCCTGCACCTCGCTCAGCCAGTGAGCGGCTGGTCTGTATGTGGGATCCGAACCCTCGGCGGGAGTGCCGCCGCGCTCCCAAGCAGAGCACTGTAGTAGTGCTCCGCCGGGCCGGCCCCACATGTGAGGTCCGTTTGAGAAGCTCCTTCCATTCCTGGTTCTGGATTCTGTGGAGGGGAATGGCCCTGCACTTGGGCCACGACCCCTGGTCCTGGCACCTTACCTTTTGTGCTCTTCTGGGCTGGATGTGCCAGTATTTTGCATCTACGTTCACAAAGAGCACTGTAGTAGTGCGCCGCCGGGCCGGCCCCACATGTGAGGTCCGTTTGAGAAGCTCCTTCCATTCCTGGTTCTGGATTCTGTGGAGGGGAATGGCCCTGCACTTGGGCCATGACCCCTGGTCCTGGCACCTTACCTTTTGTGCTCTTCTGGGCTGGATGTGCCAGTATTTTGCAGAGCACTGTAGTAGTGCTCCGCCGGGCCGGCCCCACATGTGAGGTCCGTTTGAGAAGCTCCTTCCATTCCTGGTTCTGGATTCTGTGGAGGGGAATGGCCCTGCACTTGGGCCACGACCCCTGGTCCTGGCACCTTACCTTTTGTGCTCTTCTGGGCTGGATGTGCCAGTATTTTGCATCTACGTTCACAAGAGGCATTAGTCTGTAGTGTTCTTCCTTTGTGCCTTTTTTCTTGTTTTGATGTTGGAGTCGTGCTGGCCTTGTAGCAGACTGGGAAGTGTCTCCTTACCTTGACTTTTCCAGAGGAGTTTGTGTAGAGCTGGGGTTACTCCTTCCTTAAGTTTTGCAGAGAATTTCCAGTGAAGCCACCTGGGCCTACTCTTGTCTCTATTGGAGGCATGTGGTGTTTGGGGTGACGTTTTAGGATGGCCTAGTGGGTACCTCACTCCTGGTCTCAATGTGCACCTGGCCAGGAGAGAGGGGCCTAGAAGGAAATGGGCTCAGAGGACAGAGACCTCGGTGATGAAGGTGCATGACCCCTAGTATCCTGGCTTTATCAGAAACGACAGCTTCTAATTTGTAGAAACTTCATTTCTCCCCCAAAGGATACACCTCCTTCTTCCTACTGATTTCTGATTTACAATCTGTATAGCTCACTTTGGGCTGTGAATAATGCTATTTTATGTTCTTTAATTTTTTCTCAGTTGAATTATTGGCGTATAAAGTTGAGCAGGAAAAATGTATAGCAAGCGACCTGCAGAAAACCCTGAGTGAGGAGCAAGAGAAGGCGCTTTGTGTTCGGAAGCTCCTGGTGGTGGAGCAGAACGCAGTGAGAGACTTGAAGTCCGAGCTCTGTGAGTGCAAACAGGAGAACGAAAGACTGCTGCAGTCCCTCAACGACGTGCAGAAGGAAGTCCTCCAGCTGAGGTATGGGACTTTGAACAGTGAGACATGCCTTTCCTTCTGTCCCCTCACCTTTGTAGCTGCCATTAGACATTTCATTGACTATAAACGGAAGTAACCCACATTTTTCTTGGCATTGAAGTAAGACAGAACCTCTAGTATGCCTTGACCTGGCAAGGTGTTCTTGTAGCTTTTGGAGAGCAGCGTCCTGCTCGCCCTGGGTTTAAGTCTGGTAAGGAGGGTGAAGCACAGGGACAGGTGATGGGAAGTGGCAGGGTCCTGGCCCCTGGGTGCTGGCCTGTGTGTCCCCTTCAGAGTGTTCCGTGACATGAGGCATGATGCCGCCTATTGTCCCCACACAGATCCGTGCTGGACAGCAAAGAGCACGATCTGAAGGCCGCACTTCAGGAGCTGGAGAGCGAGCGGGTGAAGGAGCGTGCCCTCCAGAGCCAACTGGAGGAGAAGCAGCTGCAGCACCTGCAGCGGGAGGGCCAGAGTGCCAAGTCCCTGGAGGTAACTGGGCAGCGGGGCCGTAGCCCACAAGGCACAGACCATCCAGGCCAGTATTGGTCAGAAGCGTGAGGCAGTTCTCCTCTTTCATGCCTTCTTTTCTTATTCTTCATGGCAGTGAGATATGGCTATATTTTCAGGTAAAATAGTACCTCAGTAGTGACAGCACTGAAGGGTGGACTGCTGGGCAGTCCCCGCTGTCTCTGAGCAGTGTCCTCACTGGCCGTCCTGGACAACGTGCAGCCTCAGAGGTCTGTACACAAACCAGATGCACGGTAGGGACACAGCTTCTTTGCACAATGGATCCAGTGGTGGTCTGTAGTTCCAGAGCAAGTCTACCATCAATGCCATGGGTTACGGTGAGTGTTTTTCAGCAACACAGAAATTGTGGTTCAGAGCAAGCAGGAGGTATATGTCTTTGAGTTGGCATTGTGTTTTTCTGAGGATGGGAGAAGGGGCATCTCTGAATCCAGGATGTGTTTGTGCATTTATGTGTTTGTGCATTTAAAAATACTTCAGCCATGCAATCAAGATGTCAGAGTAACAAAAAAATCCTTATACTACCCATAGGTAAGCTTACCCATAGGGTAAGCTTCAAAAGGTTAAAGTATATAAACAAAAATTTGAGCATGAAAATTATTTAGATACTTTTCCTCTTAATTTAATTTTCCCATCCTACTTTATCACTGATGTAGGAATTAAGAGTATCCTTGGAGAAGCAATATGCTCAGAGTAGTCGACTCTGTGTTGCGTTAAAACACGAGCAGACGGCAAAGGACAATCTTCAGAAGGAGCTGCAGATCGAGTCTTCACGCTGTGAGGCGTTGCTGGCACAGGAACGGAGCCAGCTCTCTGAGCTCCAGAAGAGTCTGGAGGCCGAGAAGAGCCGCGCACTGGAACTGTCAGAGGCCTTGCAGCATGAGCGGCTCCTGACGGAGCAGCTGAGCCAGAGGACCCAGGAGGCCTGCGCCCACCAGGAGACGCAGGTGCACCGTGCTTTGTTGCGGAAGCTGAAAGAAGAGAAGTCCCATGTGGTGGAGCTGCAAGCAGTGCTTGAAAAGGTGCAGCAGCAAGCTGTGCGTTCGCAGCAGCAGCTTGAGGCTGAGGCTCAGAAGCGCTGTGAAGAACTCCGGAAAGAGAAGGAGGTAAGTGCCATGTTGAAGTCAACTGTGGAAGCCCTGCAGACCCCAAAACAAGAGCTGAGATGCTATCTGGAGAGAGAAAGGGAGAAGCCAGCTTGGTTACAGGCAGAATTAGAGCAGTTACACACAAGATTGAAAGAGCAAGAAGGACTCAAGGATACCACGAGGAGAATGAAGCCAAGGCAGAGCCGAGCAGATGCGGAACAGTGGAAGAAGTGGCCGAGAGACAAGGAGAGGCTGGTGAGAGCCGTCTGCTGCACAGTCAGTGCTGAGAAGTCACAAGCGACGGGAGGGCTAGGCAACGCACACGGGTCTCATAGGGGTGTTTCTGGGTTCTCTGCTCTGTTCCATTGGTCTACAAGTCTGTCCTTATGCCAACCCCACACTTTTGATTACTCTAGCTTTGTAGCAAGCTTTGAAATCAAGGAGTGTGATTCCTCCAGTGTCATTCTTTTTCAAGATTGTTTTGGCTGTTTGGGGCTCCTCACAATTCCATATGAATTTGAGGATTGGCTTTTTCATTTCTGCAAAAAAGGCCATTGGGATTTTGCTGTGGATTGGGTTAAAAATGTAGATTGCTTTGGGTAGTATTGACATCTTAACAATATTAAGTCTTCTGATCCTTAAACATGGAATGTCTCTCCATTTATTTAGATCTTTAATTTCTTTCATCCGTATTTTGTAGCTTTCATGATATAAGCTTTATACTTTTGTTAAATTTAGTCCTAAGTCTTTTCTTATTTTTTTGGTGCTGTTGTACATGGAATTGTTTTCTTAACTTTATTTTCAGATTGTTCATTGCTGGTGTATAGCATACAGTTGATTTTTATATACCGATTTTGTATCCTGCAGCTTTGCTGAACTTGTTTAATAGTTCCAATATTTTTTAATTTTTTAATATTTTTAAATATTAAAAAAAATTTTTTAATATGGATTTTCCATATATAAGGTCATGCATCTACAAATAGACGTAGTTTTACTTCTTCCCTTCCCATTTGGATGTTTTTATTTCCTCCTCTTGCCTGATTACCCTGGTGAGAACTTTCCATGTAATAGCAGTGGTGAGAGCAGACGCCCTTGCCTCGTTCCCGAACTTGGGGAAGCTTTCAGTTTTTCACCATTAAGTATGATGTTAGCTGTGGGTTTTTCGTTGATGCCCTTTACCAGACGGTTTTTGTTAATGCCTTTTACCCTTCTATTCCTTGTTTAATCAACCTTTTAAAATTTAATCATGAAAGAGTATTAGATTTTGTCAAATGTTTTTTCAGTGCCTATTGAGATCTGTGGTTTTTGCCCTTTATTCTATTGATATCATAAAGTATGACCTTGATTGATTTCTTGTGGTGAGCCATGCTTGCATTCCTGGGATAAATTCCACTTGATCGTGGTGAATAATTCTTTTTATATGTTGCTAGATTCAGTTTGCTAGTATTTTATTGAGGATTTTCGCATCTGTAATCTTAAGGGATATTGGTCTGTGGTTTTCTTTTCTTTTCTTTCTTTTTTTTGGTGGCCTGCCAGCGTGGGAATCTGAACCGTTGACATTGGTGTTATAACATTGCACTCTAACAGCTGAGCTTAGCAGCCAGCCCATGTAGTGTTCTTTTCTTTTCTTTCTTTTTTTTGGTGGCCTGCCAGCGTGGGGATCTGAACCGTTAACATTGGTGTTATAACATTGCACTCTAACAGCTGAGCTTAGCAGCCAGCCCATGTAGTGTTCTTTTCTTTTCTTGTGATGTCTTTGGTTTAAGTTTCAGGATAACATTGACCTCAAAGGTGGGCTGGGAAATAATCCTTCCTCTTTCATTTTTAGGGTGGTCCTTAATTTTTAGATACATTTTGTTTCAGCCAAAAGCTTCTGTGTCTTATGGATTAATGTCTGTTTTGCCCTCTTTGAAAATATTTTGTGATGTCTTTGGTTTAAGTTTCAGGATAACATTGACTTCAAAGGTGGGCTGGGAAATAATCCTTCCTCTTTCATTTTTAGGGTGGTCCTTAATTTTTAGATACATTTTGTGTCAGCCAAAAGCTTCTGTGTCTTATGGATTAATGTCTGTTTTGCCCTCTTTGAAAATATTTTTTAAAGGCTTTTAAAAAAAATAACCTTTACTATTTCTGTTTTTATATTTTATGTAGTTATAACACACAGGTAAAACCAATGGCCTGGTCTTTTTAAGATTAGTCTGCCACGGGCCGGCCCGGTGGTGCACTCGGTTGAGTGCGGCGCTTGGGAGTGTGGC